TCAAATTGAAAATCGTCAGCAAAGTGGAATGACAAAAGAATGAAGGGTAATTTTAATATCCGTTTTCATGTTAAATTGTTTAACATATATTTTAATATTCGTTTTCATGTTAAATTGTTTAACATATATTTTAATATTATTTAATTTCTCTAATTTTTTTACTTACCAGATTAATGATGCTTGATAAATATATGCTTCTTGCGTTGGCAAACGATTTTAACTAGAACATTGTTGGGTTATCTTAAGAAAAGAACTCAAATGACAATTTGAGCGTGCAAGTCAACATCAAAGGTCAAACAAGAAACAAAAAAGTCATGTCAATGCAAGTCCGACTTCATTAGCTCCATCTACCATTTATTCTGTTAGTTTAGGAGAAGACAATGAACCATAGATTTATCAAGATAGACCAATTGGTTAGAAGGCTGCAAAGAAACAACTTAAACGTAAATAAGGAAAAGATAAAGTTGGAGAGACAACTGTAACAAATCTCTTACAACAATTCAGGGATACTCTAGTTGAAATTGAGGATCAGAAGAAACGAAACAAGACAGAAAAATTATATTAGTGCAACAAGCTATGATAATTCAACAAAGTCAAGAGAAACAAGAATTGGACATAATTAAGAAAGAAGAACAAATTATGAAAACGGATATTTCTAATTTGGATCTAATTTCTGCAGCGTATTTTCAAAATAAAAGGTTAGAAATTATACAAAAGAGGGGTTTTAATTTTTAATTAACTAGATTTATTTTTTGTTTAATGTAATGTATTTTAATTTAAATATTTAGAAATTTATTGTTTATTTTAAATATATTATTATAAAAGTGGTATCAATTCATAATATGTTTTTGAAGTTCTTTTAACACTTAACAATAATAAATAGGATTAATTAACTTAAAAGATAACAAACATAATGAAAAAAAAACATAAAAAACTTGAAAATTATGATGACATAAGAAGTTCAAAGCTAATGATTCTACTCGTTATCATATTGTTCCCATAAATGTTCAACCAAATCTTCTTGTAGTTGAGAGCTAGTTGCTCTATCCCTGATTCTATTATGAGTTTGAAGAAAATAATGTAATTCTGGTATTTCACATGTGACACTGATATAAAAGAATTGACTTCATGTTCATGGTCAAATCCAAGGTTCATTGCTCCTTCATCCTCAATAATCATATTATGCATTATTATGCAAGCTTTCATAATATTTGCAAGCGTTTCTTTATCCTAGTATCGAGCAGGTCCACGTATAATTGCAAAACGAGATTGGAGCACCCCAAATGTTCACTCTACATCCTTTCTTGCAGACTTTTGCTTACTTGCAAAATATTTTCTCTTTGCTCCTAATGGCCTTGAAATTGTCTTACAAAAGTTGACCAATTAGGATAAATCACATCTGCTAAATAGTATCCCATTGTATATTCATGCCCATTAATTGTATAATTGACAGGAGTAGTACAACCTTCAGCAAATGCAACGAAGATAGGTGACCGATCAAGAATATTAATATCAAAAAAGGCATGCCATATCCAAAGATCTTGTGAAGCCACCGCCTCTAGAATTATAATTGGTTTACGATAATGACCAGTATACATCCCATGTCATGCAATTGGACATTTCTTCCATTTTCAATGCATACAATCAATACTCCCTAATATCTCTGAAAATCCATGCTGCTCTCTAATTGATAATAATTAATAAATATCGGCCTCGTTTGGTGCCCTTAGATACCAATCACCAAAAACTTTTGTGATTGCTTTGGCGAAAGTTCTAAGAATTTCTATGGCAATGCTTTCTTCAATTTAAAGATATTCATCAGTAAGATCTACAGGAATACCATATGCAAGTATTCTGTGAGCTACAGTTACCTTTTGAAGACAAGATAAGGATACCAATCACCAAAAACTTCTGTGATTGCTTTGGCGAAAGTTCTAAGACTTTCTATGGCAATGCTTTCTCCAATTTAAAGATATTCATCAGTAAGATCTACAGGAATACCATATGCAAGTATTCTGTGAGCTACAGTTACCTTTTGAAGACAAGATAAATCAAGAACATCAAGAGCATATGTCCTTTATTTGAAATATGGATTATGAGCTTCTATTGCATTTGCGATCCGAAAAAAAGACGACGACTCATCTTAAATCTTCTTCGAAATTGAGTTTTAGTGAATTTAAGATTTTTAGTTAAATAATCATTATATAACCTTAACTCACCTTCCTTTTTATTACGATTGACAATGTTGTGGCTAGGAATAGAGCCACGATATACTGTTCTCTACCCTTGATTATTCGATTCTTCTTCAGCAACCATAGCAGTAACAACTTGAAAAGCGAACATAGAAGTGTCATCATCAAAATCAAAAGCATCATAAAAATTAAAATTAGAATGATTCATGATGAATTTTAATGAAATATATTTTTGATTGGAGATAAAACAATGGAATGATAAGAAAAAAATGTTAAGGTATATGAGAATATTTATAGATAGATTTTTTTACCATTAGAATATATATAATCAAAAAAGAAATTTCAAAATTTGAAATCTTAGAATGTTGGCGGTCATTTTTTCAAAATTTGAAATTTTAAAATTTAAAATGGTATTTAACTTCTTGTATTTGGAGATAGTGTAACTGCGAAGCTATTCATCAACACCAGCCGACCCTTCTTTAAAAAAAAATTAAAAAAAAAGCGAATCCTCCTTTACTAAGAAAAAAAAAAAAACCTCAAAACCATAAACAAAAGGCCTCATAGCAGCCGCTGGTTGGAGAGGTAAAAGAAAAGGCCGAAACGTCGCCACCCCAAGCAGCTCCATCCTCACAACAGTAGCTAGCGTCGCATACTCCCAACTCACCATCTTCATCAAGCAGTGACCCCTTTACAGTCGCAACTCTAAAGGTAAGATTTTTATCTTTTTCTTCGTTTTTGTTTACTGCATACAAAAAATCAGAATAGAAGAAAAGGAATTAGACGTTTAAATACGGGGGGTTTTTGTTTTGGTCCTTGCATGATGATGATTATCAAATCTAATTTGGCTGAAAAATAATGATGTGCTAAAGTGAGTTTGCTTTTGTCGGTTTCGCACACTTTCGAACAATTCTGAGTATGTAAAGAATGGATTTGGGTAATGTTGGATGATGTTTGCTTGACATGTACAACGTTGGAGTCTTGAATCAATAAGGTAATATGGGGCTAAACAATGAAAATGAAATAAATATGCTCCCTATGCTCTCGGATTAACACGATGAATAAAGTGATTTAACTTAGTTTTTTGTCTTTTGATTTGTGTGAAATCTTCCAACCTTTAAACTTCGGCTCCATATGATCAATTTTCATTGTCAAAAAGTTTTCTTGTTTTATAAACCATGGAGCGGCAATATGGTCTAGATTTTGTTAACGTGGCGAAGCTTATGGGGGCTCTTGGTTTTTCCTATTCTTAAAAGGACGCATAAACCCCAACTTTTTGCTAACAAAATTTGCAGATAGAAAGCGCTCTCAAAATGACAGAAGATAAAGAAAACAAAACTGGAATCATGGAGAGGAAGCGGAAGCGGAAGCAAAATGATAGAAATAAGAAGAATCCAGAAAACCAAAACAATCACAATCAAGATAAAGATCAGAAGAATGCAGTAAAAGAGGATAAGGAGAAAAAAAGTGAAGGAAAAACAACAAAACAAGAAGTTACCTTAGAAGACAACAACAAGAGGAAACACAAAATTGTATTTCCATTCGGCAATTATAGAAACTACTATGGTTATCGTGTGAGTATTTTAACTTCATTTAATATATTTATTAATTAGTAATTTATGATTTATTAATTATTTATTTATTCATGAGATGACAGATTAATGAAGTGGATGGAGATCCAAGACTTAAGGTCTTTGAGAGGGATTGGTTTCAAGGCAAGGATTGTCTTGACATTGGTTGCAATAGTGGCATTCTCACCATTCAAATTGGTAATTTTTTTTCTTGCTCCTTTTAATTTACATTTCACATTTCAGAAATTAGGCAAAAAGGAATTTTCTTTGTAGTAAAGTTGAAGGAAAATTTATGCTGTGTTTAGTTTAAGATGTTTTGACCTGTAATTAATGCAATACCGGATATATATTGCAGCAAGGAAGTTTCACTGCAAAAGCATTCTTGGGATCGACATCGACTCTGGTAATATTTATATTCAGATTGAAGTTGTGATATTTCAAAACGTTCCCTGTTTTATTTTGAGTTAATGATTGCATATGTTCCTGTGTTATGTGGAAGAG